TTTCGGTAAATAAGTTTGTTTTGATTAACGTAACCTCAAACTTACTTGCGCATGTCATTTAAACAGGGAGTCACCTGGCCTAATATGCGCTAGTAGTGACAGGTAGTCTGTGAGTGACAGTATCATAGATGAAGACAACTACAACAGTATGAGTGACCCACATATTATCAAACTATAGGCGTGACCCATGATACAAGGTAGGATATTGCGTCGATTTGCCTGACGTCAGTGGAAATCACTGCGTGTCCTGATTTTTCCAGTCTGCTACATGTGATTAAATATAGCTTATTTAGTCTTTGTCACATTTAATTATTTTTTAATAAATCTTTGTGATAACTACAAAATGCTTTGCAGCAGGTTTTCAACTAGAAAATGAAAAGTAACAAACATTTATTTATTTTAAAGACTAGCACAGTTGCCAGATGTGCAATAAAGTATAGCGTTTGCTTTTGGCAAGTAGCGCAAAAGTTAGAATTGCATATTCCTCTCATAATCATCATTTTTCAAATGCTGAGAGCATATTCTGGCGGAGGCGACATTAATGGTGTCCGCACGACAACAAGCATTCTCCCATAGCTTAATTTTTAAATATTGTTTATTTCATTACGTTTCGGTGAGACAACAGCGCCATCATCAGATTTGACATAAACACATAAACTCATAATTGGTAAATACTAACGTTCTTTTAAGTCTATGCCTTCTTGAAACTTTACAAATAGTGGCTCAAAACTTTACTCAAAAGTGAAAAGTTTCAAGAAAGCATAGACCTAAAAGAACGTTAATATTTACCAATTATGAGTTTGAGTAAATTTTAAATCTGATGATGGCGCTGTTGTCTCGCCGAAACGTAATGAAATAAACGATATTCAACAAATTTTACTTCACACTTTGACTGAGACCCAGGAAAGATAAAAATAGAGAGTTTTTAGACCCCTTAAAATTACGTTGGCTTTAAACGCTAAACGTTATTGTGCTCATGCGCAGTGTTAAAAAACGTTAAGTGCGTTTTTTAGTTTTTGATACAGCGTTTGTTGCAATCTTAATAAAATAAACCTCACTTTATTGTTTTCTTATCCCGTTTTGTTTGAAAAAGTTTCAAAGCTAGTTTAAGTTTGTACTGTTATTAAACAAAAACATTGAAGCTGCCTGTCTGCACCGAAAGAAAAAAACAGGCTTAATTTTACATGACATCTTTGACCCACCTGTTGTTGCAAACCAAACAGCTATTTTTAATTTAGAAAATATTGAGCCCAGAGATCGCTTTATCAATTTTAGCTTTCAGAAACATATTCCGAACGTATTAAATAAAAATTCAAAATCAAATAGTTAAGTTATGGGTTAGAAGTTAGAATATGAGTTTGCGATGTTAGTAATTTTGCCAAAGTTCAAATTTGCACAAACAATGTTCAAATAAAATTAATTTATTGCGTAATTACGCAAAAATGGCGTAAACTAATCAATGAGAAAGTCTTATTTAAATTTACAAATATTTCTTATATTATAGCCGCTTATTTTATTAATAATACAGTTGAGTCCGGATATAACGAACTTGAAAAATGAACTAAAACTGGTTTGTTATATCCGGAGTTCGCTATAAGCGAATAATAATACAAAAA